TGACTCACGATTCTTCTGTATCGTTCTCAAATGGATGGTTACTCGGTTCCATTGTACTATCTGCTCTTGCTTTGACTACTTGGACTTCAGTGTGATTTTGCAATTTGGATTTCTGTGCTTCGTCCACATTCTTGTTCCTTGCATTTTGGTATCGGAGCTGGCTCGAATCGCCACTTACCTTGGTGCGCTGGCGTTATACAGACTTGGTGCGTTGACGATGCTTCTTTGCAGTTGGTTCTTGTGACGTCAGGCCATATTAGGCGCACGACCTGGGTAGAGAGGTGTGCACCGGAAGGCTATACGGCTTGAAATGCCGTGGTTACAGAGGAATGTATGATTGGTGATGAGAGCATGCTGATGTGGCATTTAGCTGAGGTGGCACTGCATTGCGTTGTGGGTGGTACCGAGGCTACGACCGGTCATCAAATGCACATTCAGCCCAATTGGTGAGAAATTTGTGGTTGGGGGCAGCTATCTCCAGGTACGTTGTTCCCTTACCTTATCTACCTTCTCAATCTCTTCTTACCGTGAGGAAGTGAGTTCAACTTGAGAGTCCTCTCTTATTGGTGAGGTGTCGAATGCGCGCTACCTTGAGAGACGACAATCTTCCCGGAAGCATCTGGAAGGAGAAAGGGCGGTGCCTCTGAAGGGCCCTGGTCGAAGCACTTGGGTCACGGTCACCATGCCAACCCAATGGGAGTAAGTCACGCATGCGATGGCTGGTTGTCCATTTTGGCACTTTGCTGCGCTATAGAAGTCGTGCCGGGGGTGCTAGCCCATAAGAGACGCTTACCAGACCGTCTATAAATATTTCTGGCTGGGGACTCGGTGTTGATACTGGCTGTGATCGTCGTCCTGTCTGCGACGTTAAATAATTCCTGAGGAGATGGGGGCTCTCCTTAAATCCCTCCTGATCAGCCAGATCAAACCGGGTTGTAAGGCTCATTGCGTACGAGGGTAAATAAGAGTGGATGGGCTGGCTTGTTCGGCAATGACTTGGGGCACAGGGGTGGGCCGACAATACACACGAAGACACTGCTGCTCAAAGATGCTCTTCGGTATGTTGGATTGAGGGGAGGGTAGGTTCTAATTGGTGCTCAACTGTAAACACAACTATATCCACTATTCATACATCTGCAACATATTTTAGTTTTATTGTTGATTAGTTGGTTGACAGACTGCTAACACCTCACAGGCAGTTTTAGTTTAGGACTGTTGTATACTACCCTAGCCAGTTCTATGCAAAACTTCTGTAAGTGAACTAATTAGTAATCACGATACAACTAGATTATGTTAACAGTCTTCTGTGAATGTTGTAGGTTGCCACTTGATCGGTTGAGTAGAGGACCTGCCGGACACATTTATTTTTAGAAAATTAGGTCCCGGTCAGACACATGTTGTGGTAGGACTCCAACAGGGGGTTATAGTGCAGATAGTGTTTGCCTAACTGATGAGTGGGTCAGACACCGATGAGGGTAGAGTTGACGATCAGAGGCTGACACGCTCGAGATCACTTAGGGTCCCGCGCGTGTTTCAGGCCCTACAACCGGGAGACGAAGGACGACTTCGTGCCGAACGCAGAGCCCGTGCTCTCGCAGCAGCCAGGGAGGCAGCAAACGCCGCAGCTAGGGAACAGGCTGCAGCAGCAGCGGCGCAGCAGCAATGGCTACCGCAGCAGCATCCTCTGCTGCATCCTCGTCTGCGACCCTGTTGGGAATGCCCTCAGGGCCCGCGGGTACTTCCGGATCAGTAGGTTTTGTACAGTCCACAAGTCAAATGGCGGGCTCGCAGTTCAGCCCGTTGACCCCACACGGTAGAGAGCTACAAGAGCTCCAGCAAGTCGAAAGGATCCACGCTCGGTTAGAGAGGGAACTGAAGCAAGCTACCGACAGAGAAAAAGAGATCAAAAATAGAACAGCCAGGCTTGATACGTTAGAGGCAGACAAAGCTGCATTAGAGGGTTTGGATAAGTCAGCCATGTCTGACCAAATGAAAATATTGAAGAACAGTGTACTGTCGTTGCATGCGCATGTGGACAGCAGACTGGACTTCATGCAGAACTCTTTGGACCAGATCTTGGACCTTTTGCAAAGGCCAGGATTTAGGCCAGCAGCACAGTCGCCGTTGCCGTTAACGACGATGTCAGGCCCCTTTCAGGTACAAGCTGGCACACAACCAAGTGGTACGTCTGCAGCAGCCGCACAGACTGTTGCTTCTTCTTCTACTGGGTCGGTGGTGATAGCTACACCATCACCGCAACAACCTGTTCCTCAACAGGAACAGCAACAAGGTCAATGGTACCCAAAGACCCCTATGAAACCGCCCCTTGCCTTCTCTGGAGAGAAGAAGGACGAGGAACTCAACACATGGTTGAGAACGGTTCCAGTGTGGGTAAGGGCAAAGAGGACTATGCAGGAGGAGGAGGTGATTACTATTGCATCTTACCTTGAGGGTAAGGCAGCCAAATGGCTGGATGGATTAGTAGCAAAGGCCGGGTACGGACGACGCATGGCGGACTGGGCTAAGACCCTAACGTTAGAAGAGTTCTTAGACATGGTAGAAGCTCGCTGGCATAATCCACAGCAGGCACAAATTGCCGCTGATGCGATGCTCATACTAGACCAACGAAAGTTCAAGTCAGTCAGAGAGCTAACGTCTACCGTAGAGAGCCTCATCGTCGTTCCCGGCATACGCTACGATGACCAGGTCTTATTGACCATGTTYGTGAGATRTCTCCCAGAGAATCTSARAMATTTGCTGGCCAGCGAGRCTCRCCTYGAGTWTCATTCGTTTGAGACCTTATCTAGAAAAGCCTTAGACTTAGAGGCTACTCTAGGAAGTGCTCAACCTACTCCAGTAGATGCGAGGAAGAAGAAGAGTCCACAGGAGTGGAAGAAGAAGGGGAGTCGATTGATGATGGTTGAGTCTGATGGGACCCAAACTGAGATCGAGGAGCTTTCAGACCTGTTGGACAGCACAGAGWACGACGRCGAGGAAACCGCTGAGGGTAGCACCCTCGCCGCAGTAGTAAAGASTAAGGCAGGTGGCCGAGGGAAGGGCCATCAAAAGRGKSAAGGGCAGGCCGCCTCCAACCASACSAAAGTTGCTKATTGGGTCAAGGCAGGTCTTGATCAAGAAGTGTGGCGGGACCGTAGAGTGCGTGGTGCTTGCATCAACTGTGGTGAATACGGACACACCCAGTACAAGTGCAAGAATGCAAAGGTCACGCAGAAGATACCCCCTAAGATAGGGGTACCTTCTTCCCAGGCGTCTAGCTAGGGAAACATGTGAGGCTGGTGGAAGTTTTAGCTGCTTCTACTCATGGTGAAGTGGGCCAGATACCCTCCCCACTTCATGAGCAGGCCATAGCTAATGACTCTTTAGTCACCCTGCAGACTCATCCAAACCAAACTATACTCTGTAAGTTGGATGTGTCTTATGCCTTAGAAGATTTAGAAAGTGAGTGGTCAAGCAAGGACCCTCGCGAATCTTGGGTGGCACTAAGAAAAGGTCCTAGAGGGGAACATTTCGTTGTGGAAGTTGCTGTAGGAGACCGCAAATGTGGTGCCTTCATAGACATCGGCTCCACACGGAATTACATAAGTCGCGACTGCTTGGAAAGGCTGCACCTACAGGACCGGGTACAGCACCTTAGTAGACCTGTAGCATCTACTTTGGCCAATAAGGAGCGCATGGTTTGTCACAGACTATGTCGAGGATGTAGTCTGTACTTTCTCCTATGGAGGAGGGGGACTTGATCATAAGATTTCGTTCCTGGTTAGCGACGACTTACCATTTGACATGTTGTTAGGAATGTACTACCTTGAGGTTGCCAAACCCCAGTTTGACTGGGATAAGAAGGTGCTAAAGCATAAGTTGCCTGATGGAAGAATAGTGAGACTGACTAAGTTCATAGCCAGTAGTATAATCGATACCTATGGCTGCTTGTGTGCATCAGCGTTCTACAACTACTCTAAACAGAACCAAGAGGAGGGTATGTACCTAGTGTATGTCTCCGAGAAAGGGGAGGCCGTTAAAACACCCCTAGAGATAGAACACGTCGTTGCTAAGTTCCCTGATCTGTTCACAGAGCCCACAGGAGTCGTCGATAGGGAGGGTGTCCACGCCATAGAAATCATTCCTGGGAGTAAAACCCCAAAGGGAAGGATCTATAGGATGGCTCCGCCCGAGTTGGATGAACTGCGGCGACAACTAAAAGAGCTGACAGAAAAGGGATGGATCCGGCCGAGTACTTCCCCCTTCGGATCTCAAGTGCTATTTGTACCGAAGAAGGGGGGTACATTGAGGATGTGCATTGATTACAGAGGCCTCAATGCCATCACAGTGAAGAACGCAGAGCCTCTACCTCGCATAGACGACCTATTGGATAGGGTGCAGGGATGTAAGAAAATAGCAAGATAGACTTAAAGTTCGGCTACCATCAAATCGCAATAAGGCCCGAGGATCAGCATAAGACTGCTTTTCAGACCAGATACGGTCTGTATGAGTTTGTAGTGATGCCCTTTGGCCTTTGCAATGCGCCGGGTACATTCCAGCATGCCATGAATAGGATCTTCCATGACCACTTAGATAAGTTTGTCGTTGTCTACCTTGACGATATTCTTATCTTCAGTAAGTCTGTCAAGGAGCATGCACAGCACGTTGAGACTGTACTTTCACTCCTGCGACAGCACAAGTATAAGGTCAATCTAGAGAAATGTGAGTTTGGACGCACTAAGATCTTATACTTGGGTCATGAAGTATCCGCGGAAGGAATTAGGCCGTAAGATGCGAAGGTGGCTAGTATAAGGGACTGACCACGACCTCAGACTGTTACTGAGGTCAGATCTTTCTTAGGAATGTGCAGCTATCATAGAAACTTCGTAAAGAACTATTCTACAGTCGCCTCTCCTTTGACTGATCTAACTCGACTTGACACGCCATGGGATTGGAGTGATGATTGCGAAGCTGCTTTCAAACGATTGAAGCATGCACTCATGAATCATGAGGTTCTCATGGTGCCCGATCCTCAGAAGCCATTCATCGTAACCACTGACGCAAGCCAATACGGCATTGGCGTAGTGCTGGCTCAGCAGGATGGGAAGAAGTTGAGACCGATTGAGTATATGAGCAAAAAGATGCCATCTAAGAAACTGGCAAAGTCCACCTATGAAAGGGAACTCTATGCTCTCTACAAAGCACTTGTCCATTGGAGGCACTTTCTGTTGGGACGGTTTTTCTATTTGAGAACTGACCATCAGACCCTTAAATGGATCAAGACTCAACCGACTCTTTCTGATGCACTCAAGCGCTGGATTGAGGTCATAGATCAGTATGACTTCAAGCTAGAGTATCTGAAGGGAGAGTACAACAAGGTTGCAGATGCGCTATCACGTAGGGCAGACTACCTAGGGGCGCTAGTTTATGAGTTTGGTGTATCTGAAGAACTAACTCAATCGCTGGTGGGAGCCTATCAGGAAGACCCTGTCACGATGGACATCATACGTTAACTTCAGGCAAAAGACAAGGCCACAAAAGATGAGTTTGTGATGGTGGACGGACTTTTCTTTCTTGATAAGGCCGGATTTAAAAGGTTAGTTGTTCCATCTAGTGAACGTTTGCGTAGTTTATTCTTAGGAGAATGTCATGATGCAACCGGACACTTTGGCTACAAAAAGACGAGTGCCAATCTAGTACAGCGATTTTGGTGGCCCGAAATGCTAGAAGATGCAAAGAAGTATGTGGAGACCTCTCAGGTCTGTCAACGGGACAAACCGCGAACTCAAGCACCGCTTGGGTTGTTGAAGCCCTTACCTATCCCCGCTGGTCCGGGACAGAGTGTTTCCATGGACTTCATGGACACCCTGGTGACCAGTAGGAATGGCAAAAGGCACATCTTTGTCATCATAGACCGATTCACCAAGTACGCTAGACTAATTGCCATGCCAGAGACCGCAAGGACTGAACACGTGATCAAGTTGTTTTTGGACAACTGGGTGCGTGATTTTGGACTACCAAAGTCAATCGTTAGTGACAGAGATGTCCGCTTCACAAGTGAGCTGTGGAAGAAGACTGCTGAACAGATGGGCAGTCAACTTCATATGACTTCAGGGAATCATCCCGAAGCCAACGGACAGGCCGAGCAGATGAACAGAGTTGTACAACACCTGTCGAGGCATTACATCAAGCCCAGCCAGGATGACTGGGATGAGAAGTTGCCTCTCATCGCCAGCCTGTACAACAACGCTGTACACAGCAGTACCGGCGTTAGTCCTAATCAGCTGCACTTGGGATGGAAGCCTAGATCAACTCTGGACTTCCTCCTACCTGGAAACCGACCCTCTGCAACTCCGGGCACACTTGAGTATGGTGTGCAATATGAGAAGTTGCTACAGCAAGCTGTCGAGCACATCAGGAAAGCTCAGCAAGCAATGATTGCTTCTAAGAACAAACATTGTCGACAGTCCTCATTTCAGGTAGGGGAACGTGTCTGGGTCAAGGCTAGTGAGCTAGGACAGGAATTCGGCGTCTCTCGAAAACTAATGCCTCAGTATTTTGGTCCCTGGGAAGTCCTGGACATCGTTGGGGATGAGATGGATGGTCCTAGGTATGTTATCCGTATCCCTGGTCACTTGCGCACTCACCCTGTCTTTCATGCCTCAAAGCTTGCACCTTTCGCTGAGACAGATCAATTCCCTTCAAGGAGATCGATGTTGCCCCCAACCATGGATGGCCAAGTGGACATCGACGGCATTGTGGATTACAGGGACTTGCCTGTTCCAAAGCCGCAGGGTCGAGGAAGATCTCCATAACCCAAGAGAAAATATCGCGTCAGATTCAGGCATCGTACGGATCCCAAAGAAAATCGGTGGTTCACCAGAGAGGAACTGATTGAGAGAGCCCCTCAGGTGGTGGCAGAATATGAGAGAATGATAAAAGGGAAGGCACCTGCGAAGTAAGCATCTCAGCGGACTTTCGAAGCTAAGGGAGATGGAATGTGAAGATTGAGCCCTCAAAAGGGGCCTTGCCGTGTTGTACATGTTCTGGGCCAAGGCCCCCAGCAAGCATCATGCCCGCCCTAAGCGAAGGCGGGCCAGCAAATCACCGAGAGCCCTCTGTTCAAACATTTCACGAAGTGGGATCCATAAAGTTGCCGCACGCCAGTTGGTTGGAGTGCACCAAGTACCGGATCTCTGCAAATGCAGAAGGACCAGGGCCCTTCAGAGTTGGTTAGGCCCTGGGC